GAAGGAGTCTTGGGGTAGCGATGGCATGGGCTGATCCATGGATCATTCCAGCCCTGTGCAGCAAGAAGTTAGTGGTAGGTCTATCCTGAAGGTTTCCTGTTATGAAGAGGTTGCGTCAGTGTTGGCCTTGAAGCTGTTTGGTACCACACCTCAGCACGCTAAGCTGTCCCTAAAAATGAGGGACTGAAGGACTTGAGCAGAGCTGAGGTGGTATCTGCCCTCTCTGTCTTTCAGAGAACAGCCCCATTTTCAAGCCTTCAATGACTAGGAAGAGCAAGGCATGTCCATGCAGGCACCATGATGCAGGATGGTCTGTTACCTGGTGGGACAATCCTTTGAAAGGTGGCTGTGCACCCTGTCAAGGGCTTACAGGGTCGTGGGTATAACCTTTCATGTCAGCTCCTGTTAATCAGCTTGCTTAGTCCAGGAAGATATTTTTCCTCAATATTATTTATGGAGGTAATGTCCTTGTGCACGCAGGTTCCTCACCTTTGGAAGTTTCCACTTCGGCATTAGCTGTGGCCTCACTGAAAGCCACGTGATGACACAGGTTTAGGGAGTGCTGGGAACATTGAGCAAAAAGCTGCTGTGACCAAATTTGCATTTAGAGAGGAAAACTTTTATACATATGGCCTAAAGCACACCAGATGATTGCTGGGATTTACTTCAACTCAGTGGCTCACAAATGCCCCTGTTTGAAGTGGGATTGCAGTTCTGGGCAGGCTGCCCTCACCCCACTGACAGCCCTCGCCCTCGCTCGCTGTAAACCCAGACCAGCCCCAGACAGGCCAGCAGGCATTTAATTTTTCTGCCGATTGAATGAGGTCCCTAAGAAGGAGCAAAGAGGCCAACTGCGTTAGTTGTTCTGTGTTCAAGAGCAAAACTGAGCTGAGATGTTTCCCTCAGGCTGGTATTTTGGTTAATCTTGACCATGTTATTGTTTTGCCTTTCCTTTGATGTGAAAGCTGCATGTTACAAGAGTGTGGGGCGCCTGTCCCCCTTTCCCAGCTCTTCCCCTTGCCATGGTCTCTAACTTAGGGGTCTGAGGAGGCACCTCCAGGTACCTCTGTGCAGGCATCAGGTATGGTGAAGAGACCCAAAGTAAAGGGCCACCATCAGATAGCTGCAGTGGTGCCTTTGTGGGACCTGAGCTCCTTGACCACATCTGCTTTCAGGTGGCCCCTGGGTTTCAGAGATCCCAGTGGCCACCCTGAAAATGAGATTTGAGTCTGGAGTTTTCATCTTCATAGAGTAATCCTTCATTTTTGACTTGCCTGTGAAACAGCAGTAGCAGAGAGGCCAAATCCCTCTGCTGCTCCGCTTGTTGGAGCTGGGGGAATGGGGAAAGAAGGGAACAAGACCGATCTCATTACAAGATTTTAGTTTTCCAGCTCCCCACTTGTCTGTGATTTTGAGTCTTTTGCTTATACCACCACAAAAGTCCTTATGAAAAAGCAAAGACTTGCAGACAAAATCCCACCCACAACCCTGAGAGTTTAAGCCAGAAATAAAGCACACAGAGAGAACTTTCTTTCTTCAATTTAATTGAAGTTACTTAGAAAAATAATCAGGCTTGAATGGCTTTTTAAGGAAAGATTCATGAGCAGTTCATACTTGTGTTGGCAATGTATAATTTAGCTTTTTTTTTCTTTATTAACAGTATATTTAGGTATGAGGAGATACTCTTCTACAACAAGCCTTCTACTGCATACAAATAAGTAAAAAAAAAAAAATCCAACCCCACATTGATGTTAAATTATTCGTACACATTTCATTGTGCATGCATGTAAGAAAATAACACTCTCTGTAACAAGAGTAATAGTAAGGACAGTCCCTTTTTGTACCTGAAAAGTGCAGCAGACTACAGCAAAACCCTAAAACACCTGGGGTAAACTGGCTTCTAAAAGCACCTCTGCTCTGCTCGTGGCTGATGTCACGTGCCTTATGCAATGCAAGGCTCAGGCCGTTTGCAAGGTTTTGTGAAAACGGGCATGTTTTGCACGGGGGGACTCAGAGCCAGCGCCTCCCCACCTGCTCCCGTGGCCGGAGGGGCCGGAGGGGCCGGAGGGGGCGGAGCCAGGCTG